CGACACTTATTTACCTCATTGCCAAATCCAACTCCAATTCCAAAAAGAATTCTTCCAATGATTAACAGGGCTTTGTTTGGAGCTATTCCACTTACTATAGCTCCAAGAATGAAAAGTATCGATGCCAAACCAATTGTAGGTTTCCTACCAAGCACGTTGCAGGCCTTTGAAGCTCCAAAGCTTGCAACAAGCGCAGCAAGGTACAAAGAAGATGTGAAAAGTTGAAGCAATTGATCATCATATTTGCAATAATTGTTTTCCTTGGCATGCAATTTCCTCTCATAAATAACTGGAAAGAACTTCTTCAAGAAGTCATCCATTGAAGTCACTCCACCTAAAACCATCACAAAGAAATAATCCCAATTATGATATCAATAATAAGTAAAATGAAATAAATGTAAGAGCTACGTTTACTTGATGCTGTAGATTCTTCGTTATAATCAAGAATAAAATATGAAGCTTTCTCACTCCTCTTATCACCAAAAACAAAAAAATTGGGCTTATCTGCAGTGGATGAAAGAACTACAATACGATTGAGCTCTACAGAGTGCAACAAAGAAATCTTGTCCTAAACTGTTTTAGTATAATGAAGAAATACAAGGTGAAGCCACTCCATTGATGGATCGATCCTAAAATGTTCTTTATACTAGATCACATCGATCATGTCACAAAAGTCAAATTTTTCCAAAAATTTAATGGCATTGGCATCTCTCGTAAAATGCTAAAATATTGTTTATTACACCGTCCATAACTGTACCATATGCAAATCAAGCACTAAAAGCCTAAAACTATGAGCAGTATGCATATACCTGAAATTCCAATATCATAGCCAAACATTATGATAAAATCAAGGAAGGAAATGAGATTTGAAGCTGAAATTAAAGGAATGAAAATTGACGGAGAAATAAAAGGGATAGGCTTGCTGGATGCAGGGAAGATGATGAACAATTCATTCATTCAAACTTGAGAAAATTACAATGCAATCTATTCTATTTATAGAGAAAATAGCTAACAAATTATCTAACAAACTAACAAGATAACAAACATAAGAAGGAACTAGAAGAAGCTAGAAGGAGCTGTTGTTGAACTGGTTTGTTGGGAACGTCTGGTGAACTGGAGAGAATGACTGGAGAATATTCCAACACATTAGCTGCTGGATAATTGCCTCAAATGTCAAAAGTTGGAGGACTCCTATTGCAATTAATAAAATGTGTTTATTATATAGAAGACTTCTAATTTAAGTTGATGGCAGAATCATGTTAGAATTTGATCTCCAATTTATAGTCGTCTTTGGAGTCATTATTTGAGTTTGAATTAAACTCTTCTACTTGATTATTTGGTCCTATAAATAATGGAAGGATTCCATTATTTTGGTGTGTGACCTGTGAGAAGAAAAAGGGCCAAAAATAAAGAAGAGAGTTGAATTGTATATACATATATATACAATTGGCAGAAGCTAGTGATTGGTTGCTGGAAAGGTGGTATTGATATATTAATTAGTCAAACACAGTGGCTTCTTTGGGTTTCATACAACACAGTAGCCGGCAGGTTCTTGCACAAGGAGATTTTTGGCTGCCGTTTTTTTCTTCTGTAATATTTCTGGGATTGGGTTGGGTGAGTNACATGCGAATCCTGCAGTTCTTGTCTCCAACGGGAACGTTTCGCTTGGTATTAGCCAACCCATTGGACCCCATGACCATGCGAAAGACATAACAAATAAACACACAAGAACCACCACAACTGCAGCAAGTCCTTTATCAAGTGAACCAGTAGGCTTCAAATGAATAAGCAGAATTGATCCAATTGCCACCTGCATTCAATCAGAATAAAACAAAATTTAGTTTGTCGTATAGATGTCTAGATGACTTCAACCTACGAATACAAACACGTAAATTTGAAGCAAATAAGATAGCATTTATGCATATATTTGTAGATAAGATGGCAAATATGATCACCATGCTTATGAACATTTGCACACAAGCTTGAAGAAGCAATTTCCTCCTCCCAACCCTATCAACAACAACGATTGAGACAATAGTGCTCAAGACATTTACAACTCCCGTGATAATGGCAGACAGCAGAGAACCATCGCTCTTAAATCCAACCGTTTGGAACAGAACCGGTGCATAAAACATGATGGCATTAATTCCTGGGAACTGCTGAAAAACTTGCACCGAGATACCAATGATCAATGGAGGCATGCTGACACGCTTGAAGAGTTTCTTGTAAGGATGCTTGACTTGCCTTGCTATCTCACATGCCAGTTTGATCATTTCGAGTTCAGATTCGACATCATCCACACCCCGGATCTTCCTTAGTGCTTCTTTCCCTTCAAACTCTTTTCCATGTTCAATGAGGCTCAAAGAGTTGATACAGAATATTGACAGCCCCGCGGTGTTGCATTGGTGCAACCTCTGATAAAAACAGAGGAACTGACTGCATTTTCAGATACAATTTCAATCAGAACAGAGAAAAATTTATAAATTTTGATCACCAATGTACAAAAAACTGTACGAGAAAGACAATAACAACGACACTTATTTACCTCATTGCCAAGTCCAACTCCAAACAAAGCCCTGTTAATCATTGGACTGGTTTGCTGGGAACGGCTGGTGAACTAGAGAGAATGGCTGGAGTGAACTGGAGAGAATGGCTGGAGGATATTCCAACACATTAGCCCACCGAAGGCAGCAAATATCCAACATGCTACAACATAAACAGTCATTTTCGATCTGTAAGGCTGCCCAGAACTGGGTGGCTCAGCGCTCGTCATCTTTTCCTCTACTAAATTTCAATCAAACCTAACTTTTCAAACAAAACAATGAGAGAGTATCTGTGTGTTTATCTGATTCTTGGGATATAAAATAAACTAGTGACTTGTGCCCATTTCAGATAAACGAATATTCTTCCACCTTATCATATTACAAGAAAGTGGAAATATTTTCTTGGCTTCTTTTTTGGAAAGGTGCTGTAAGGAAACTCATAATTTTGTGAAGTGAATGGCAAAGATTTGAAATATATAGCAAGTTTAGTGTGAGAGAATAAAAACCCACGAGAGAATAAAGATGATCTCTTTTCTTTGGGTACCAGCCTACCAGGTCTTATGGGAGGAAACTACTTGAAATTGATTATCTTGTTCCCCCCACCCCCTCTCTAATTTTAAGGAAGAAAATCAGGCAAATGGCACCTTTACACAATAAAGAGGAGAGGATATGATTGATCAAATGTTGTCATGTTTCTTAATTCTGTCTGAATTTAGACCATGCAAGAGGCCAAATCAATACTTTTGACCATGATACACATCTTTTATGAGATGCATTTGGTACATGATAATACCAATAAGATTTTAACTTGGCTAAATATATTCACACCACATTTTTTAATAACTAAACCACATTTTAATTACATGAAAGGGTCATTACCTTTATATATGATCACGATTATGCCTCAAATGTTTTTTTATTGCATTATTATTCTATAACTAATATAAATTGTTCCTGATTATGGTTTCTCTCCAAATTTTCCTTTAATGTAGAGTAAAAAAACTTATTTTTTCATTGTATTTTTTAATAAGTAAAACAAATAATAATGCAAAAAATGCAATTATATATTTGACCCTCACTTTCAAGCATGTTAACAATGGATGAAAATCATGATTAATGACAAGATTTTCTGATCAATGACATGTTAAAAATAAGAATGTGATGAAGAAAAAATTAACGATATAAGTATGATAATGAATAAAGATTAATGACCTTTAATATAATTAAAATATGGTATATTTATAAAAAAATGTGGTGTGAATATAACCACCCTTTTAACATTTTTTTTTTTTTAAATTCAGTACTGTCAACCAATATGCCTTTAAAAAATATTAGAACAAATAAATTGTGAAAGGTAAAGAAGAAAATTATCATCTTTTTATTCCCTTTGAAGTTGGCCTTGTATCTTTTATAAATTAGTCGACTCAATTTGAACCATTTATTGATAAGTTCAGAGTATTTCAAAAAATTTCTCAATTTAGATTACTATGCACAGATTTTATATATTTGTGTGTGGGAGGTTAATAATTTAGTTGAACAAAATTTATTATTAGAGTACTCGAGAGAGTGGATTGATTTTTCTTGCAAAAATCAAATAAATATTGAGTGTTCTATATTTTCTCTGAATTGAATTTGAGCAAATTTTGGTCAATGTAGAGGCAATAATTAGATTTCACAGCTCAGCATCTCGCCCGAAATTTGATGCTGGAAAACTGGTAGTGATTAGTTCGACCGGCTCCTTCAACTTACTTCTTGTAGCATATTTGTAAAGTTCGCTCGAAACATTTTTTTTGTTAAAATAAATTGAATGGTCTACATTTATGGGCAATGCTGTGGTCTTGTTTTATTGTTGGTGGATTGTGTCTGTGCTGGAAATCGGAATCCCATTGCGTTGGACCAATGCTATACGTTTTGACAGGAAATAATGCATCCATTAATTTCTCTGTGTAGTGTGTGGGGTTACACAAGTCTGTATATGAATTTGAGCTTATAACTGTTCGTTGTTTATTGTATTATCGACAGTTTGGGTACTTTGTGGAATCAGGTGGTCGAACTGCTCTTGAAATCTCTTGATGGTGTAAATATCAATCTCTGTTCTTAATTATCGTGCTAGGAATAAAATTGTTAAATTATTTGTGTTAGGAATTTACAGAGTTCAACAGCTCAAAACAATATGCAACAATCATTTACATAACATACAGAAATCATAGAAACAGAAAAGCAACACTAACTTTCCACAGTTATAACATTTCTTACCTCTTTTGTCTTTAGATTTGGATCGCATTTTAGATTTTCCTCTTCTCTTTTTGTTTTGGAAGTTAAATTCTCCATTTTCATGTCTTCCCCTAACAAATAAGCTTTCTTCTCTCAAATTAGTTATGTTATCTCTTTTCAGTTCAAGTTCTATTGATTTCAACACATCTATCACAATAGCCTGCGAGAGAGTATCCCTACCATACTTTATGACATTTCTGATTTCTTTATAAGATTCGGGCAATGAATTTAACAGTATTACAGCTAAATCTTCATCCTCAAACTCCTTATCATTGTGAGCTAGACTCTTAATGATTATGCTATAATCACTCAAATTCCCTTCTACATCCTTTCTCGGGTCCATCTTAAAACTAAACAGCTTTTCTAACATATATATCTTGTTAGACAAAGTCTTTGTCGAGAATAAGACATCTAAGACAGTTCATAAAGTTCTAGCATCTTTAGCACTATCAACTTATCTAACAACATTATTAGATAAGTGCAAAATTATAGAACTATAAGTAATTTCATTCATTTCTTCAATTTCAACAGGTTTAGCTTTTAACTTGTTAGAAAAAGTAGAAGGATCATCGAGAGCTTTAGCAACTCTATGTTGGACCAAAATGACCCTCATTTTCTGTTTCCATATCGAGTAATCCCCATTTCTATCGAATTGAGACAATTCGACCCTCGAACTTATTCCAGATTCTGTAAAAGGGTGGCATGTACTCGTGAACATAACAGAAAAGGTTTTGAAAAAATCTTTTCCAGATGATCAATACAAAGTATGAATGTAGAGTTAAAACCAATATCTAGAAATGAAGCATAGCAATGAAACAATTTGACCAAAGAACCTCAGTGTGATGCGTGCAGGTGAGATTCAGACGTAGGCAATGCACATGTATATAATGCTGGTAAGCATGCTTTCCAGGTTACAAATTAATCACAAGAATTCAATCAACAGAATTCACAAATAGGCAACCAAGCAGTAATGTATTAATTAGGGCAAGATACCAAGCCTATCCTAAAGGAGAGTTTGGAACAATCTTACCAACCAACTGTTAAAAACAGTAACAATACCCTCAGCTCCTAAATCGAGCAAGCCAGCCAAAGTCATAGAAATCACCCAATTCCAGCCAACACATACACAATAGCAAAACAGAGGAATCAGTATCGAAATTAAAACACTAGAATGCCAAGCCAGTGACATTCTCTGTTCAAACCTTATAAGGTGTATACAGATAAACCACTAAAATGAAAGACCCAAATTTATGAAGGACAAGCAAAACCCTAGACCGAAAGCTAAGCTCTGATACCAGTTTGTTAGGAATTTACAGAGTTCAACAACTCAAAACAACATTCAATAATCATTTACATAACATACAGAAATCATAGAAACTGAAAAGCAACAGAGATCTTCTTCCCTATTTTCTGGGCGAAAGTCACAGGCTCAGGAACAGCCTCCATGCTTGCAAAAAAGGCCATCCAGAGAGAGCATAAGAATCGGCCAGAACCTCTCCTCACTTGGCTTGGATCATCGATCCAAGGATCTACCAAAAGCAGCCAAGATTCACGCCCTAAATCACCACTAAGCCCTCGAGAAACACAACACCACTTAGCTACTATTTCAAGCCTAAGTATACACAAGAGTTCCTCCAATCAAAGGCTAAATGATCGATTTCATGGGCCACAGGAAGAGGAAGAAGAAAACAGCCTCCAACAAAGATACAGAGACCAGACCGAAGAGAGAGAAGGAAGAAGAGTATCAAGGAAGGAAACCCACGTGAATATAAAGACCAAATGTCAAGCCAAGAAAATATCTCAACCAAGGAATAAATTCGAGCCCTTGATCTCAATCCAATGGTCACAATAAAAAAAACCAAACTAACACAATCCGGGTCAAGCCAAAGCTACCAATAGGCAAGTGACACCTAAGCAGCTAAGTGGAATAATAAGTAACAATATAAATGTCACAAATAGCACTAGCCCATAAGTGTTAGAGGACCACAATTCTCACAGTTTGTATGATTGCCAAGATAAGAGAAAATTTCGAAATGAAATTTAAATTGGTGAGTTTTATAGTCGAACTGTATTTTAAAATGTTGAAATGTGTGGATAATTGTCGAGATTTGTGAGTAGATACAACGTAATACAAATTGTCGATCCGAATTATAGTTGTTGAATTATATGTATAATCATGGATGATTGGTGACATAATGCCGAGTTGTACCTAATGTGGAATGGTGTAATGAAATAAATCATGCCGAGGGGAATATAAAATAGATAGATTCTTAGTGCGTTCTGGAGTACGGGAGTGCACTATTAAAATCGAGGTGAAGTGCCACGATGTGATACAAATTATGAGATAATTGTAACAAATATTGGAGAAGCAAAGAATCCAAAGAGATATTGCAACAATGGCAAAGTCATATTTGTATCTGGAATGCTTGGGAAGTTTAAAAGCTGTAAGAGTAGTAGGGATAAGTACAAGCTGGGGTTGGCTATGATTAAAGGGGGCGTCGGCGTATTTAGGACACTCGAAAGGATAAATCAACATAGAAAAATTAACGGTGGTGGATAGTTTAGATGTTTTCTACGAGTACCCGTGGGGCTAAATGTACTAAGACACTCTTAAAAGGCAAATTAAGGGTAGACCCTCTTGGAAATTCTAACATTTTTCAATCGAAGGGCAATTTTTGACTAAAATAAATGTAGGAAACTCTTTCTTTCTTCTTTTTACAAACCCTTTGGCTCAGGGGCGGTGTTAGAAGAAAATATTTGCGAGAGCAAAAAAAAAAATGAAAAATTGTGGGTGCAAAAATTGAAAATTACATGAATTTTTTGAATTTTTTTTTTTTTTTTTGAAAATTTGTTTTATTACATTACATCCCATTAAATTTGATCATTCAATAAAAAAGAACAATTTTACGATAATATATTATCAACTATTAAATACATTTTAGTGTGTGTTTGGTAGGGATTTTTGGGGAAAAAATTGAATTTTGAATAGTGATATGATGGGAAATGTGNATTTCATTAAATTTGATTATTCAATAAAAAAGAACAATTTTACTATAATATATTATCAACTATTATATACATTTTAAAGTCAGTGAATCTTATTTTGTTTTTTTCTTACTAAAATTTAAAATAATAAATTCATTTGAAAATATAGAAAATAAAAATAAATACTAACACATGGACTTAAAATATTTTGTCGTGTTCATTTAAATATTTTTTAAAATTTTTTATGTAAATAATCATTAGGAGCTAGAATTATTTTTATTTTTATAGAAACTTTTATAATTTTTATTTTTATTTTTTTAGAATTTATCAATTTTATTTTTTGAATTTTAATTTTTTATAATTTTTAAATTCTTTTAATGAATTGTATATTTTTAATTTTTAAAATCTTATTTAAATATTTTTTTATTTAATTGCTTGTTTTATGTTTGGAGTGTTTCCAAAATTTTCACCGAAAACACTTAAAATATCAAAAATGTATTTTGAGTTTTATGTTATAAATTTATTATTGTTTTCGTAGATGCATTCTCAGAAATAACAGACTAAATTTTGAGGTCAAGAATACCATTTGGCCAAATCAACCAAACTATTAATGCTTTGTGGATATCATTTTAGTACTAAAATGGTAAATATAACAAATTTTAATATTTTTCTGTCAAATTTGATTCCAATTCAACAAAAATAGCTGTCTGTAGAGAAATTAACGTTGTGTTTATCTCTTAATTAATTTTGTTGCCGATCATTCCACATCCATCGCAATATCCACAAACATATCCGAATTTACAGCACCTAAATATAGTAAAATATTTACTTTAAATGGGGCCGTTTTAGCATGGATTTGAACGCCAAGTCAACATCTTCATCTCATCTCCAGGAACAGAGAGACTCAAGAGCGAAGAATTTTACATTCAATTTAGCTCTTGTTTCTCCCTCTCTACTGCACATATATTAAATAACTCTGTAAATAACAAAGTTTCTTTTTTCTTTCTTTCTTCGTCTGTTGGAGATATATCGAGCGAATAATCGGCATTTTCTAACGTCTTCGGAATTCTCTGATACGCAACAATGGCTAATCAAGAACCAGAATTTTTCAAGTCTAAGATTACACTATATGTATTGGCATGTTGGATTCTTGCAGCCTTTGGTGGCCTAATGTTCGGTTATGACATCGGTATTTCAGGTAATGTATACAAGACCTTTGGCTAATATATCGTTGCATATCACAATTCATAACGGATTCGAGATTATGAACAATTCCATGAATCCTTCTCTGTCTTTCTGTTCTCATTACAGCACGCGCACGCACACACACATATATTTATTTATTTATTTACTTTGTTTGTTGTCGATTAGGCGGAGTTACTGGCATGGATGATTTCTTGATCAAATTTTTTCCGAAAGTTTATGAAAGAAAGCTTCATGCATCAGAAAACAACTACTGTAAATATGATGATCAAATGCTCCAACTCTTCACATCATCCTTGTACCTAGCTGCCCTTGTAGCAAGTTTTTTTGCATCAAAGGCCTGTAGAGTATTAGGGCGTAAGCCCACAATTCTTATGGCATCAACATTTTTCATTGCTGGTGCTGCCTTGAGTGCCGCTGCTCAGATTAAATGGATGCTTATTATAGGGAGAATTCTTTTTGGAATTGGGGTAGGATTTGGAAATGAGGTATGTATGTTGAAAAAAATTCCTTTTTGACATTTAATTTTTTTTAACGAAATTATTCGGAATTGCACTTCGACTTCGTTGTTTGTTTGTTGTAGGCTAAAAAATCTGTAAATGATTAGAGAATATAATTATAGCAATATTTCTCACCGTCCTAATTACTATAAAATAATCTATTTCTTTGTCTGGTTTGAAGTAAATTGATCTGAGAACTTGAAATGAATATGTAACGACCAGGGCCTTGTGCTTAAGCCGTTAACCTATGTACTATCAACTTTGTGAGAGAATCTTTTATCTTATCCTTCACGGTTCTCTGTCGCATCCTTCAGGATTCGAACTCAAGACCTCTGCATATGAGGGACTTAAACTGAATCCTAGGAATGCAATAAAAATTTATGAAGGGTAAGATGTGTTAGACTTCCCTATAGCAGATAATACGTAAGTTAACAACTTGAACATAGAGGTCGGGTCATTATAGAATACGTCTGCGGTTATTTTAATATTAATTTATCGGTTCATTGTGAATAATTTTAAGGACACTTCAATATTTAGTGTGACTAATTGTGATTTGTTTTAAATATTTCTTGAAATTATAGCACAATGTGTTATGATAAAATTCCCCTAATGTTGAGTGCATTGAAAATTGCAGGCAGTTCCCTTGTTTTTGACAGAAATTGCACCTGTACAGCATAGGGGTGCTGTCAACATTCTCTTCCAACTCTTCGTGACAATAGGAATTTTTATTGCTAACCTTGTAAATTATGGGACGTCAATGGTGCACCCCTATGGCTGGAGACTATCTCTTGGCCTGGCAGCTGTTCCAGCAGTCGTCTTACTCGTCGGTTCTTTGATCATCACAGAAACTCCACCGAGTCTCGTGGAACGAGGCAAAGAAGCCGAAGGCAAGGCAGCACTTCTAAAGATTAGGGGTGTTAATGATGTTGATGCTGAATTTCAACAGATAGTGGCTGCCTGTGAACAATCGCGCCAAGTTAAGAAACCGTTCAAGAAACTCATGAATCGTTCCAGCAGGCCACCTCTAATTATTGCCATTTTCCTCCAAGTCTTCCAGCAATTCACAGGAATTAATGCGATCATGTTCTATGCACCGGTTCTATTCCAAACTTTGGGATTCAAGACCGATGCCTCTTTATTGTCCTCAGTTATCACCGGCCTCGTGAACGTTGGTAGCACTTTTGTGTCTATTTACGCCGTTGATAAGGTTGGAAGGAGGTTGTTGCTTCTCCAAGCTTGTGTCCAAATGTTTATTTCCCAGGTACATTACCATGTTAATTTCCTATGAAAAGGGCATTAAATGAGCTAATTCAAGTCAAGTACCAAGTTGTTTAAAAATTCAACTTGATATTATGAACTCCTCATAAAATATGAGCTAAACTCGAATAATCCATTACGAGTAGAGCTAGAATCAAATTTTGATAAATCAAACTATAGCGAAAAGCTCGAATAGACATAAATGTAGCTGTTTTATCCCTTTATCTATTTCTTTATCCTTATCACATGCTTAACTGCCACCCAATGTTCTAGTTCAGGGTTAGAACTAGACACGATGAAAAAAAAAAAGTTAAAATCTTATCTATTACACTGTATTGTCAGAAGCCAAACTTTGTTCGTTTGGTGTGCAGCTTGCTATTGGATTCATCCTACATTTCCACTTGAAAGAAACAGGTTCACTTGACAAGACTCTAGCAGCAATTGTTGTGGTACTGGTGTGCACATTTGTGATGTCCTTCGCATGGTCGTGGGGTCCCCTCGGTTGGTTAATTCCAAGTGAAACGTTCCCTCTTGAAACAAGAACTTCAGGATTTGCCTTTGCAGTTAGTTCAAATATGGTTTTCACTTTCCTAATTGCACAGGCTTTCCTGTCAATGCTTTGCCATTTACAAGCCTACATTTTCTTCTTCTTCTCTGCTTGGATTTTTGTAATGGGGCTTTTCGTCGTCTTCCTTCTACCGGAGACGAAAGGGGTCCCAATCGATTTGATGACGGAGAGGGTATGGAAACAACATCCAGCGTGGAAGAAATTCTTCGAGGATGAAGGGAATAGGAGTTATGAGCCATGACAACAAAGTATGTTTGAGATGAAGTTGCTACCGTTCTAAAAAAGTTACTGCAACTAGTTATTTTCCAACTGTTGTAAAAAAAATAAATTCTTTTACTATTTTTGTGCATGTGTATATTTAGAAAGTCTTTCTTCTTCATGTTTTAAGTTCTTTTCTTTTCCTTTTTCTTATTAATTTTAATAAATAAATAACCATAAGCGTAAAATAATTTAATAATTTTAATTATTGGTTTTTAATTATAAATAAAATAATTTTAAGTAGAAAAGTGAGATTTTTTAAGTAACTTGACGAAGATAAAAGTTGAGAACACCTTTATTTTAAAAAAAAAAATGCATTTAATATCACATTCTATTGTTTGAGTAGTTAATTAATCCTCAATCTTTAGATACGAAGTTAGCCTTATATCATTTATAAATAGCTGAATAGAGAAAAATACATTTAATTGAGATGACAAATCACGCCCTATATTTTACCTTATGTAATGTTTTACATTTTTTTTTTCCCTTAAATGATGCTTTTTTGTGTGAGATTTACAATATATACTTTTTTTTTTTTCTAATCTCTAACTTCAAATTAATTAAATTTATTATGATAAGTTAATAAATCATTAAAAACATTAAAAAAATACTTCACTTGATTAATTCTGAATCAAATAAAAATTTCAATTGTTATCTTCTAATTAATAGTTTTTTTTTACTAATTTATTACAGTGAAATGAATTAGTAATTGAAATTTTAGAGAGTAAAAAAAATAGTTAAAATAATTAATGTGTTGCATAACGTAAAATAAATATTTTGATTTGTTATTTTAACCCATTTAACTAACATTTAGGGTCTGTTTGATTGTAAATATGAAAAATGGGTGGAAATAAAATGTTTTACAGAGAATTGATTTGCTGAGAAATTGTTTTATTGGAAATTGTAATTAATCGTGTTTGATTGGTATAATTTTCCATGGAAAATGTTGAAATTTTGGTGTCCGTTTGACTTCATTTTTTTTTATGAAAATTGTTCATTAAAGTTATAATTTTTTCTACCATTGGGTCTAAAATTTGTTCCAATTGCCAAGGAAAAAAAATTGAAAAACAATTATCATACCGAATACCATTCGTTTGGCTTTGTTTTGCATAAAAATTGTCAATAAACCTGATAAATTTTTTTTATCATTGTGTCTAAAATTTTTTCCAATTGCAAATAAAAATAAATAAATAAATAAATAAAACTTAGAAAATATTTACCAACCAAAACATTAAGAATTTGTTTTCCTCAAAAATAAACACTACAAAAATTGAAAAATATGATATATCAAACGGAGCCTTAATGACATGTAATTTTTCTAGCAATCTACCTAAAGCTAAAGCCTTTCTATTTTAGACAAGAATTCAAATTAAAGGATTATAACATTCATTCTCGTTGATTTTATTTAAATGGAACTCCTAATTTTAAAGATTTATTATTGATGAGCTCTTTTGTAAATTTCCCATTACAAAACCGACTTACTATTGTACAATAATTTACTGTTACAGACTCACAAAGTGCAAATTTCCCTTTCCTTTTCCTGTGAGTAAATTTCCCTTTCCTTTTCCATGGGATGGGAGACAGCACAACATTCTTGCTATTCAAATGAGAAATGGATTAGAGAAAAGTTTTCGTGTTTGGCATCAACACTTCGGATAACAGTCCCCTCACAAGTGGGGTACATCGAATAACCCTTTTGAGGGGCTGTCATCCAAGGTGTCGACCCTGAATGTACATATAACAAAACTCGAAAGAAAAGACCTGGAAAGTCGAATCAAAGTGCAAACGGTTTCATGTAATCTGAATTTGTGATGAACAAATTTACCATTGAAGCAAGTTATTAAATAAAATCAACCCTCCTGCTGAAATTCATTTTATCCTCACCTCACTACATTTTACACAACAGTAAATTCAGATCACTCTTGATTTATCACTGGAACTATATAGTAGATGGTACAGAAAATTTTCGAGGATAAAATTTTAAAACAAATTTGGGAGCTATCATTGTAATTCACCATTTCACCACACACAATGGGAGTCTTTCACCTATACAAGAGTACACCTATTTGTAATCATTTTTACTCTTAAAACCTAAACGTGCTTTGTTGATCGGCAAAAGGGTATAAATCAGTAAAAATAAAATGATCTAATGTACACTCAAGGAGCCAATAGAAGCTGTCAACTTGAAATGTGCAACATTAATCCGAATTGATGATCTAGAAAAGTTCCATCAGTTGATGTGCAACATCTGCATCAGACAATCAAATGTTAAGATAGCACTGATACATATGAGTGCATAACAGGAAAAATTCGACATGGAGGAAAAAGGAAATTCCATGAGCACGTATGCAAACTGTTGCAAATTTTCAAATGCATTAGATGATCCATCTACTAACTTAAAACTATCTCAAATTTTATTCTGATTTGGATTAAAACAAAATTATTTGCCAATTGATACAATAAAAGCTTAGAAAAACTTCATTTACATATTTTTTAAGAGTCAAGGGAACTAGTCTCTTCATCTGTGGCTTTCAACTTATATGTACCAAAACTAAAATCAAACTATTTCACACCACATGGGCCTTTTTTTTTTGAAGTAAATTCTCACAGCTTAATACAAATTAAGTGTAGATTTCCCGCAGTAAATTTTTACGGAAGAGTTGAACCTAGGAAATGATCCGGAATACAAATAAGTAAACAAACATATTAAGATCATGAAATTACACTCATTACCCCCTCTTTCTAAAAGCTCCAGATATTCATCAAATACGTCAAATACAAGATAAAATAACGTGATATTCAGCAGGTAATTTATATTGCACACCTTTAAGTACAGATGGTGGCGTTTGGAACTCATGCCAGACATTGTTGCACGAAGCAAGATTCATATTCAAAAATTTCGCAGCAAGGTACGCGGCACCAGCAGCAATCTGGTGTGGTTTGAACTGAAGCCACAGCGAGCTTCTAAGCCTGTAAAAAGAATTTTAGCTTCAGAAAAGCGTCAATGGATGAAAAAAGCAATCATTATTATTTGGACATATAAAACAAACCATCTTGAGCAACTCCACAATTGGACTCACAAGTTCTCATGCTGATTATGAATAATCACCACATTCCCATAACAGCCATGAAAAGAACTTAATACTGTTACAGGTTTCATACAACTAGACAGTAAACATTTCAAGTATGTAAAAGCAATAAGCAAACCAAAGCAATTTTCCCTTACCAACTAACAAAGCAGCAACCGAGTTGGGAAAAACCCAAGATTCTTCAGCAGAATGTTGAAAGAGTACCCAAATTATAGAAAACATGTTATACCGATCTAGAGAGATATCAAGTTCAAGTCCCATCTCAGCAGCAGTATACCAACTCCATGTCGATTTAAACAGACATACAAGAAACAGCAACATGTGTTACAAGCAGGTAACCTTGGTGAGCAAGGCCAACATCTCCAAATTTTGAATAAAGCAAGGCTTGCAACAAGCAAACCTATGACCTCTTAGACACATTGAAGAGTTTTTGCCACCCATAGAATGCCACCAAATCTTCCAGGCAAAGATGCAAAAATATGGACTTTGCTAAGTTAATCAATTCGTGATATAAATTAGGATACCATCTGTAATATAAATATACATATAGCATATAACATATAAATATGTATATAATACCTTTTCTAAAGGGAAACTCGGCGGATATATCCTAGGGAGGTCAGAAAGTGGACCAATGAGCTTCCGATATGGAAGATCATTGTCAATTTAGAGAACTCATTAGATTAATCATACAAATATTCAGATTTATAACAATAGAAAAAGAAGCCCACTAGGTTATTTATTTTTAGTAAAGATTGTTCTCAAGAAAAGCCAACACTAGAAGTCAAGAACGGGAATATAGCCTACAGGAATGAAATAATTATTGGATTCTAGCTAAGAACCACAAGGCTGTTAGAGCTCCATCCGAGATAATAACTTTGAATGAATAATGTCAAGGGAAACTCATCCACTTTGCTCCTCACTGCACATTCCCGTCTGAATACTGGAGATCATCTCCTTCTTGTCATAAAAAGAAAAGTGGACTCGAGGCAATCTTACATGCATCTCAAGGGTCCTTATAGAACTGGAGTTCTTCAATTTACACAGTCTAATCTAAAAATCTCTAAATTAATAATGTCTGCAAGAAAGAACATACTTATAATAGCTAGTACTGTAGATTAAATAATTATTACCAAAAATAATACATCTATGTAAGAATTTGAGGAATTCAGGTCATTCCATAATAAAATAGAGATCTCGATATGTGAAATTTTTATTTTTTATTTTTTGGATGGAGGTGAGGAATATCATTCCTCCTGAATAGGATCCAGCTTGTAGGTAACAGGTTCAATCTCAGGGTATATGTGAGAGTTAAAAGTGTAAATACAGCTGAAGTAAAACTGACATGAATGACAGAAACAAAAACCATAAGCATTGTAGGGAAGAAAGTATGATAGCCCTCCTTTGCATAATAACTAAACCTTAAGTATTTTGGAAGAAAAAAATTCAGAATCAAATGTGGTAAACTGCTAACTTTTTATGCGAACAGTGGACAGCTAACATTTTTTAACAGAAAACTCATGAAAATACTCGTTTTTGAAAATAGGTAGTACAACCTAGTAGGTTTTAAAAGAGTCCATTCATTAGATTGAATCACGATAAAATCTTTCAATACGAACTTTAAACAGAGAATACCAGAATGCTCAATCATGTCACCAGAAGCATTTCCCCATTACCTCCCCATCTTTCTGTCCTTTCCACATGGGGGAGGAATTATATCTTCCTGATTAAAATTTCTTATTTCAATTCTCCAAGTTCACTAACTGTCTCTCTCTCTCTCTAAGTTCTTCTTTGTTCCAAGATGTGGACGTGAAGATGGATAGGTGGCTTTAAAGCTTCTTTTCTTGGTACATGACAGAGAGATCGTATATCAATCTTGGAAGCATATAGCTGG